AAATATATATGTACAGCACACACACACACACACACACACACACACACTTCAATAAAATACATATACATTATACATTTCAGGTCATCTATTTTCTCTTAGCTGTTTGTTTTTAATTTGTCTTCATTAATGGTGCTTACCACCACACTGAAGGAACACCAGCAGAAGCTGAAAATGGGATAAAGGGCTAGATGTCAAAGCCAATGGTCACGTGATACCCACCCAGTTTTCTGCAACTTAGACAGGCTTGTTTTGCTCCTCCAAAAGAAGTCGGCCACTTCCCTGAGAGATCTCATACATACACAGTGGCTTCAAATCAATGTTTGTACACCCCCGTACTTCCTGAAGCCTGGGGCACAGGCTACGTTGGTTTGGGAAGGCTGTCCACTGAAGAAGCTCAGCATCCTACATGGGCTACTGGTCACCCCACCTGACTCTAGAAGGAAAACAGCCTTTCTGGGGTGTCTTGTGAACAGCCGCCATGCTGTCACTCAGGAGCACCCTGCCACACCCAAGAACCTTCGTGTCTTTTCGGCTGACTCTCTGTGTCCCCACCTAGCTTTACTTAATGTGATCCTTTACACATTTTCATCTCTCTTCCGTGGCACTTACCACTGTGGTCTCCTCTCAGTGGTGGGCTGCACAGATCCCATTCCAGGGCTTCAAGGATAGTAACCTTGCCCTATTTATGTAGGGGCTCAAAATGTGTTTGCTGAATCAAGCTACACTCCGGTCAGAATGACAAGCACAGCAGAGAGATGGGTGGCGATGCAGCGACTGTTTTCAGGATCAAACATCCACATGTGAGAAAAATCAGAAATTCCTGGAAGTAGCTTGGTAAGTTAAGGTGAATGTACATTCCACTGGTATTTGGCATTACAAAGGCACACACACACAAACTCCAGGGCAAATTGCCAAAGCAAAGCAAACCAAACCCTAAACACCCTTAAATCCCACCAATTTATGTTTATCTTCAATAACAAAGTATCTAGAAAATGGAAATATACAAAATTATAAGGGAGGGGGAAACCCTGCTGTATTCTATATTTCCTCCTCAAAAAACCAAGCTGTATTTGGCCAGTGAATTGGTGGAGATTTGACTATGTTACCCAGTGCAGCAATTCGCCCTCCTGTTGGACGAAACTTGAACATGGCCCATCTTACTCGCTGGCCCCTCTTCTCTGACTATTTGGTATGTTGAAACCAAATAAATAAATTTTGAAATTAGCCGGTCAAATAAAATTAAGGAGAACAAAAATTTACCTAGTCTACACAAAATCTCTACACAAAGTCCCTCAGCATGATACTCCATCAGTATGCCAGGACATAACGGCATATGCCATTCTGAAATGGGTCAGTCTCTTACAGACTGTTTGTGTGATTGTATAAAGCTAAGTGCAGTCCTGGGCCTGCGGACACTGACGGGCTATCCTTACTTGGTTCCAATGAGAGGGAGTCAGTAAGATCAGCTAAATTTAGCCTCTGAGCCGATTTCATCCCTAACCTGCCTTCTCTGTGGAGACATGAGAGAAGGCACAGGGGACGTAGCGCTGGGCTGGAACCAACCTATTTAACAAGCACAGATCTGCAGCCGAAAATGGTCACAATAAACCATGGGCAGGAATGACTGTCATTGGGATAAAAGCACAGAGAGCCTGCCTCTCCTCAGCTTCCCAGCACGCCTGATGGCCACACCTGCACAAAACCCAGTTCATTCTCCAAATCGCATTCCCTTCCACCGTTCATGAACTGAAAGCAGTAAATGTAGCTACAATTTCCACAGCCAAATTCAGAAGCTTCCCCGGAATTAGAAAATACCAGAAACTTGATCCAACACAAAGCTTGAACAAATCTGGGGAAACACATATCGAATGTGAATGAAACCCTGATCATTTCTCTACCTTAAAAAAAAAAAAAAAAAAAGCCAATCAAGACAAATATTTAAAATTTTTTAAAATGCTTTCATTTAAATGACATTTTATTTAAATACGCGGATGCTCAGGAAAATATCTGAGCCTTCCACCAGCCACAGTTGCCAGTATGGGGCTGAGTCCTGGCAGTGGTCCCGTGAGTCCGTGCGCAGCACCTGCTGGTATCTGCTGTCAGCGCTTCCTGTCCTGGGATGGAGTGGGAGGGAGAGGGGGAAGATGCAGACTGTAGAAAAAGGCTAGCTGGGAAAGCTGGCTTCGCAGTTACACCCAGCCTAGAAGAAGAGATCCAGGCATAGCAAAATGGAAGGTACAGAAAGGAGGCACAGGGTAGCCGGGCAGGGGCAAGGGTGGGAAGGAGATGCAATCTTCCTGCTCAATCCTTTCCCTCCTCCTTTCCACACAGTCTACTTCCTTTCTGTCACCTTCAATAAGGTGTCTTAAGTGGAGAAGGCTGCTTTCAGGAATTTTGAGCACCATAGTGACCATTCCCCACTCTTCATTAACTTGGGAAACATCTACTAAACTGGTTTGAACAAAAATAGGACACCGTCCCCGGACCCCTCCCCCTTAAAAGCCCTATAAATTTTACAAAGCAGCTGAATGAAAACAGAAAACATTCTAAGCTGGACCAGTGTGATGGTGCAAGTGGCCCAACCTCCATTCCACAAGGGGAAGTCAACACGAGTAGATTTCAAAGTGCATTCAGGTGACCTGCAGTACACAATGCATACAGCGCTCTCCTTTCCTTGAAACAGATTGCTTTTGCAAGAAATGAATGTAATCCAAATGTGCATTCAGGCCCATGACCCAAATTTAATGTTTGAAGAAAATGGTCATAAAATTTCATCCTTGGGATAAAATAACAAGAAATAAAACTGAGTCGTTTTCATTATTTTGCAAGATATTACAAGGTATCTCCATGTGATCTACTTAATTATTTGCTTTTTAATGGTGCTGGGAGCCTTGTACACATGAGAGAAGTGTTCTTCCACTGATCTATGTCCAAACAGCCCATTACTTGAACTTTAGAGAGTACTTAAAGATGTTTACGGGGAAGAAAGATGTGTCAGATAAAGGCAGAAAGTTCGGAAGCAAATACAACACCATAGTTGCATATCAGTTTTTTGCAAACTGAAGAAAAGCTGATGTTCGTTTTTTTCCACTTTGCCTTATATTTTAAAAGAAAATTATTAAAACTTTATTGTAAAGAGCTTCTAAATTAAACACACACGTAACCAGTCTCAAAGTCTATATATACCTCAATGAATTTTGCAGCTAGAATTTCATATAGTCTAGCTGATGTTTTCTTTGACATTGGCTTTGGGGGAGACCTGTTAGCTGGCAGTGAAAAGAGGAGAGCGTGACGTCACAGGGGGAAAAGACAAACAGGGAACCGGAAGTGTGGCGTTTACAGGGGTTGGGTGCGCTGTGCTGTAAGTACAGTCAGCAGACATGTGCAGGTGCCCTGTGTGTGTCTCCCCAGAGCGCACTGCTAACCGCCACCTGGCAGGCTAGATGCAACTAATAGAAACACCCAGGACACATTACACTCCCTGACTTGGAGCATTACTAAGCATGATAAGGACAGATCACTTAGGCCAACGGTATCTGGATTTGTTTTTATCGAGCGGCACTATCTGACCCGCCTTCAAAGTCTTCTAGAATGAGAACAGAGAAGTGAGTTCCTAAGTAAATAAATAGAAAGGCCGCTTCTTCCTGCCAAAGGCACTGTTGAGAACAAAAATTAAACTAAGAATGTGGAAACGGTGCCAGACAGATTTAGGATACCTGAACTTCAACTTCAGTGGTTTGAGGTTTCTCAGAAGTGCAGTGCAGGCTTCAGGCTGCTGGCAAGTCCTCCCAGGTTGGTGTATGGAGAGCAGACGCCTAGGCTCCAGGCCCAGAGGTACTAACTGAGACAGCCAAGGGTGCGGCAGCTCTGCCTTTTCAGTAGCTCCTAGGAGGTTAGGCACGCTCTGGTCTAGTGTCTACTGAGAGTACCAGGGAATGCCTATCTTTCCACAACATGGAGTCACATGTGTTTTCTAGTCAGAAATGTATCTCAAAACAGAAAAGAGACATTAATCTACTACTGGGAACTTTGCAAATTCTGACTTATACATGGAATCTTTTTTTGTATGTGACTTGCTGGGAACAGGAGTTCACAGTCCAATACCAGCATGTCAGGTAAAACCCAGATCTCCTCCATGTCTAAAGGCCTTCGTACAAACACGTTTCAGTAACACGCTTTCTTTCCTACCACCATGTTCAAGTTAGGGCCACAGGCAGAGAAGAAATCTCTTTATCTATCAGTTTACAAGAAAATATTTACTTTGCAAAGGAGACTACATCAGCTTACAGTCAAACTTCAAGGCGATTAACTTTGTTTTTGAAATTGCATCATTTTCCAAACCAGTTGAACCCAATTTGCATTTCCTACTGAACCACTCAGCATCAGGTACAGTGGTGCATTAGGCATTAGACAAAAAGAAAATTACAGGCCTGTTCTTAAGCACTCCTGGTACCTCCTGGGGTCAGGAGTCAAATGCATGACAGGCGTCATCCTGGATGCCTGGGCAGGGTTTGGAGAAAACCACAGACCCTGAGGAAGCCTTCCCAGGGCTGACAGTATGTGAGGCAGATTAAACCAAACAGGATGTAACTACACATAGAGATTAGGGCCCTGCACCCCCAGGCCAAGCTCTGCTGTGTTTGAAGGCATACACATGGTGACAATAGGGTGACAAGAGGCTAGGAGGCAGCATTAAAGAGGGGTGTGGCCGACAGCAAGCCAGAAGCCAGTTCACACACCCATCTGGATGCCTGTGCGCTCCTAGATGTTCTGAGACATTTCCCCCATATGTTCTTCACTTCCAGCCAAGTTTCCCCTTTTAATTATGTAGTTATACGTTTACATTATTTTATATATATATATATATATATATGTGTGTGTGTGTGTGTGTGTGTGTGTGTGTTTTCATCTTACCCCAAATATGTCGTGTGTGGTTCATAAAAATCACACTCAATTGCCAGTAAACACATTGGGTAAACACTAAAAAGACCGTCTCTTACCTGAACAGAGCTGCTCCACTTTTGTGTAGTTTAGGGACACGATGTCGTTAACCCATGCAATAATGTCATGCCTGCTCATAGTCTCCTGGGTTATCGAGGTAGAATACACATTGACCGCCATTCCCCAACTAGGATAAAACAGACAAAAATAAAACTTTACCCACAAGGAAAAAAAAAAGATTAACTTAGAACTACAGAAGACACGGAATCAAGGAGGACACCATTTCTGGGGCTCTACAAGAAACCTTCTTCGACGTGGGTCCTGACCCCATGCAGGTGTTGGAATGGCACGGGGGTGGGGTGGGGTGGGGGGTGGAGAAAAATCTGGCAACAGCAAATGTTTCTGATCGCGCGACAGCTAACAATTAGTTCATAATCGGATGTGTAATGGATCCAAAGTGTTCCTGGCACTGCCTGACCATGTTTCGTCAGGAGTCTTCACTGCAGCCTTCTCTCTGAATGCATACCACACTGCCTTCCCACCGTATTCGTGACACCTCGCCAGGATAACCGCCCCAAACACCCTGGCTCAGATGTAGAGACTACTGAGTTTTGTTAAGCGCAGCTATTTTAGACATACATCCAAAGCTTTCCGCCCTTACAGAAACATGATGGCTTAATTACGGAAAACAAGGCTTTTAATATTTTCCTGCTGTTGGTCCTCAGCACGTAAGTATCGGAACAATGTATCTTTGTGCTTAAACTGGCACATCCATCTCATTAGTATGTAAATATCCTTTCTATTTTATTTTGAGACAGGGTTTCTCTGTGGAGCCCTCACTGTCCTGGAATTCAATATGTAGACCAGGCTCAAAACCACAAGAGACCTACCTGTCTCTGCCTCCCCAGGGCTGGGATTAAAGGCGTACGCCATCACGCCCAACTTGTTATCCATCTCTGGTTCCCTGGAACTTGCATTGAACTGCCTTTGTTTCCCATTGTTAAGATCACAGGTACGAGTCATTGTGCCCAGCTTCATGGTAAAATCACATGTTTATCAAAGGACTGTCTTGAAGGGATTTTTGTTGTGGCTGTGGTTATTGTTCTGTTTTTGTTTTTTATGATTTACTGTCATAAATGTTTGATTTGTGTACCTATTTGACTTACCTGAGCCCAGCTCAGGTAAAAACTTCCCAGGTGGAAAGGGGTTTGGAGCAGGAAGGTTTCACAGCTATGCTGGGACTCGGCCGAAGCCATCGGCTGCCCTTTCTCCCTTAGTTCCTGGTATCTGCCCATCTGGGCCACATTTCACATATTTCTCCTGCGGTGCCACCGCTCATCCTCCTGTCTAGACTCTGAAGCTCTTCGGGCTCTGAGAGTCTTAATTTGTAATAGAATTTAGAGCCTCACTTTTGACCTTAAGTCTATGCTAGACATTGAGTTCCCAGGCTTATATAACACTATGATACTGTACCACACAGTCTTGTTTCTTTTTAAAATAAGATTTATTTTATTTTTAATTGTGTGTGTGTGTGTGTGTGTGTGTGTGTGTGTATGTGCAATGCCCATAGAGGAGAGAAGAGGATGCTGGTTCCCCTGAAGCAGGAGTTACAGGAGGTTCATTGTGGGTGCTAGAAACTAAACTGTATCATCTGTAAGGGCAGCCAGTGTTCCTAACCACTGGGCCACCCCTCCAGCCCGGCCAATCTTGTAGGTTTGTCTCACAGGACTTGAAATGCCAGTGTCTCAGAGGCTGCCCCTTCTCACAGCTGTGTCATAGTGAAGGATTCTTTGTAACATTTACACGTGGGGTAAAGACTTTGCAATTCTATGAATTTCATAGAATGTTTATATACATATATACGACAAACATTTATTAATTTTTATTTCTGCAACAGTCAATTATATGCAAAAGAGAAAAGAGAGAGAACCACAAACCAGCTGTGTTTACTTTTGGGATTCAGTGACAATTAATTCTCAACCAAGCTTGTTTTTTGCTTGTTTGTTTTTTCCGAGGTAGTGTTTCTCAGTGTAGCCCTGGCTATCCTGGACTTGCTTTGTAGACCAGGCTGGCCTCAAACTCACAGAGAGACACCTGTCATTGCCTCCCTGAGTACTGGGATTACAGGCATGCTCTACCATGCCCTGAAAAGAGCTTGTTTTACTTCTAGTCCCATTAACTCCCTTCTGCTGATCTCATTTCTGGCCCCACAGGGTTGTTTTAGAGTAAATATCTAGTACTCCCACACTGAAATGACCATCGTTTCTTACTGTGGCAAGTGTTGCGATGGCTGGTCTTTCTCTTAGTCTGCAGATTTATGTACTGGGCAGACATTACACTTCCTTAGTGGGCCTGTTCCTTTCTTATTAGCTGCAGGCTGGTCTTCATCTCCACACTGTAACTGCTATTGAAAGAAATACATTCTTTGGCAGAGTTTCCAGATACCTGGCTGTGTCCAGTCAGTCACACTGGTGTGGTTTAACGCTGCCTTGGCCTTCGCTTTCCTATACCCTATGATTCCATCTACAGGCTTGGTCTGGTTCAGGCCCTAATCTGGGGAGAGGTGAACGAGCCTGTCATGCAGTGAATCAGCAGAAATCAGATATGTCTGCCTCCTTTTATCATGTTGTTACACACCCGGCTATCTGCCTAGAGTCAACAGTTCATTAGTGACTTCTAAGTTATTGTCTGTAGGCCATTCTTAACTTATCATCTCTAATGATCTCATCAAGAGGACTCCCTTCTGAGGGAGCCTGGGGTCAGATGGCAGACACAACAGAGCAGGTCCTGATGGCTTCTTTACTCCGCACTTTCCAGGTAATGGGGGTGTCCTGCATATTCGCTGGTCACATGACTTTTGTTTTTATTTTGTGAAGTATAACCAAGATGTCACGGAGTTTTAGAAACCTTCATATGCCTTAGCCCATTGCAGTTTATATCTTGATTGATAAGGTGTGTGTGTACATGTTTATTCGGGCTGGCTTTTCAGTTCTTTTGATAAAGTCCTTCCTTGTTTTCTGGTGTGACAAGATGTCTTTCTGACCTAAACCCAGTCATTTCTCCAGGGGCTGGGCCCCGACCCCTTTCTGTAACAGACAGTATTTGGTACTATGGAATAAGTAAATGTTTTAAACATGACTAGAGGAAATGCCAAAAGCTAAAGTTTATAAGCTCTATACAAAACGTCTATATATTTACTAAAACAATTGGACTCGGAGTCATTTACTTTCCTTAAAGTGGGAATCTGCCTCCTGCTTCAAGCTATCACATGAGGAGTTTATAAACAGGGAAACAGCACCCACGCATCCTCTAAAGCAGTGGTTCTCAGCCTTCCTACTGCTGCAACGGTTCCACACAGCTCCCTCGCACTGTACTGATCCCCAGCCATAAAATAATCTCATTGCTACGTCACAGCTGTAATTTTGCTACTGTTATGAATTGTAATGTAAATATCTCATATGCAAGATATCGATATGTGACACCGCCCCCCCCAAAAAAAAGGGGGTCATGAACCACAGCCTTAGAACTGCTGCTCTAAATTCCCTTTGCCTGGAAGACCTGAAAACAATTTGCCGGCATTGAACCCCAGATACTGGGACAGTGGACATGACCTTTCTACACTTCTACTAAACGTGCTTTTGTTTTTCAGTCAACAGTTTTCACTGTTCTCTTTACTCTGTGCAACCATTTACTTTACAATGTGATCACCTTCCACCTCATTTATAAATTATATAAAACCTTAGTAAGGATAAATAATTCAAAATGTAAAGTGTTTTGGACTGTTTGATGTGATTTTTATATACATAACTTCTGGCAGTCGATGAACTTTCTTAACGATTTTTTCATGTGGTAATAAAAAGCCTTTACATTTCCCAGCAATAGACAGATGGAAGGTGAAGTGTCAAGTGCTAGGTGGCATCCAAAACCCAAGGGAGATGGAAATTTTGTTCCAAGCGGCTTAAAAACCAAACCAAACAGGGACGGTACAAACAGATTTGTGTTTGACAAACATATTCCACTGAGTAAAAAAAAAAAAAAAAAAAAAAAATGATTTGTAGTTACAGAAGACAGAGAAATACCAAATAGGATGAGTAGCTGAGATTAAAACAAAAACAAACACACACAAAACTCCACAGAAACAAAGGAGTGGTCTGCTACAGCCTGGCCTTGGAACACTTCCCCCCAGGTCTTCGATGATAACATTCTCCCCAAAGCAACTGACCTTTCATATTTCAAGCATTCCTTCAGCCACAAATAAGGCACTATATGCTTTTCTAGAGTTCATTAAGAAAAGGGACAAATAATGGAAATAGCACCAGCTCTGGGCTTTAGATCCCTCATTAATTAGTTATCAGTCCCACCCTCGAACTCCAACTGTAATAGGCCTTTCATCAACATACCTACAGTCCCTGGAAACACTGGGATGGGAGGGCCTTGTGGGAAAACTAGCTAACTGGACAGAGCATGAGGCAGGACAACCCAAGGAAAGGCAGGTACATGCCTTTACTAAGCATTTCCTAAAAGATACCATGGCTGACTCAGTCAACACATTTTTAATAGGTATTTGACTCAACAGTGTCATGATCAATATACATCTATGAGCTATCTATGCAGACCGAAGCATTCTTGTAATCTAGGTTCTTCCAAACTTCAGAAAAACATTATTTGCTAACTACCATACGAAGCATTAGATTTCATTATCGTGTTTTAAGCATAACTTGTTTTTGTTGATTCTCCTACCCACCTCTTCTCCCTTACTCCCTGCCCTTCCTGTTGCCCTTTCACCCACAATGGCCTCCTCTCTATTTTCATGTCTTGTGTTCTGTTGCCTTCACTGTCTTCTTCAGTACTTTTATTCACCCTCCTGATGGTCCTCTGTCTGGTTTCACATCCTGCGCTCACTCATATATATTTTCTTGCTGCTATGAGTAGAGCTGCAATAAACATGGATGACAAGTATTTCCACCATAGATGTAGCATCCTTTGGGCATGTGTCATGGAGTGGTATAGCTGCGTCGTTTGAAGTCCAGCTTTAATTCTTTGAGAAACCTCCACACTAATTTCTATGTCTGTCCTAGCTGATACTCTAACCCTAGTGAGCAACGCCCTCAGGGCCTGGCTAAGGCTTGCTGTCAATCATCCCCTTGCTGCAGGCGTTCTGACTAGGGTGAGATGGAATCTCAGGGC